TTGTCTGTATACCAAGCACTACATATTGGTGTAAATGGTTCGAAATTACGCTTATATATATATATATATATATATATATATATATATATATATTGGGAATTTCCCAACATACCACCACTATCACAGTACACATGAAAGTGCTAATTACAAATGCTGAGAACCACGCCTGGTTAACATTCCCTAATCAATAGACTCTGATCAAAACTGGAGATTGAAATTAGTTATCTTGTGTAATGTAGTTAATTGTAAAGGTCATTCATGAATCATAAATCTTGGTATAAAGAATTACAGAAAAACTTGAAAAACATTTTAGATCCCTAAAACTACAGGCGAAGCATGCACAAAGTGCTGTAGTAATAAACAGATTAGATTGAAGCATGAAAAATTACCAAAGCCAATGAGCGTGTTCATTCATTGTCTAATGTGTATAATGTTACCGAAATTCGCATTATTATTTTCAACTATCAACTATGCTTAAACTCTTATTATTAACATCGATAGTGTAAAACACTTAAAAAACAATATTATTATTTATAAAAATGCTTTTGACTACAAGTGAAACAGGTTTTCGCTTCAATTTCTTGTCTTCCCTCTCTCTCTCTCTCTCACTCTCTAACTTACGTCTATGTCTCTACTCTCTCCCTCTTTCTCATTCCTTTCCTGTCTGCCATTCCCGCGCACACCAGTGCACTAATAACCTTTATGAAATTATGATTGCAGCGACAAGACAAATTGATATTTTCGCTACTTTTTTCCATGATATAATTTACCATGATATGAAGACAAAAGGTATCTTGTTCGTTTGTATGGATCAAGGAGCATTCTAGATAGTTTGTATAGCACAAAACTTGTATATTACTAACGATATACACTTATCTTCGACAAAATAGCAACCACACTTGATCTTGGTGACTGAACGCGCATTTCGTCCTATTTGGGGCTCATCAGTTGGATGTGCCCGCACCTAAGTGAGTGGTATAGTTCCTACTGAGACTCGAACCCAGTACTCATTGCTTTAAACGCCAAATTGCTATCCACCAGGTTATTGGGACACGATAGCCACCTATTATACAACGGGTATCAGTTGTTGTTATGATACTCGTAATTTCTGGTTGCTATAAAGGGCCGCACTGCTCAATCTCTGTTGGTAGATAGCTCCTATGTGCGTGTCGGATAGGAACAAACGAGCGTGCTGGATTCCACTGCTAGTTACCAAGATGAATATGACATCATGAATACCCGGCAGTACCAAAGCATCCTCTTAGGACCCCACCTGCCAACAGAGGTCAAGCAATTCGACACTGTAAAGCAAGGGGAAATTGCAAGTATCATAACAAAATAGCAACCTTCTTAGTACTCGACAAAGTATGAAAAGAGCACCTTATTGAGGGATAGTCTAATAATGATTAGAAGTACAGAAAGAAGGTATATGGAAAATGTGACGGTCACTCCCGCCTACTTTACAAACGGGCTGCCCACTTGTGTATCAAACGTTGCATGTATATCATGTCAGCTCTATTCTCTTCTACTATACATCCCTGTTAGCTCAATCTTCTGAAGGCCGATCTTTGGAAAAACTACTAATCCTGGTGGTCGCTGGATCGAATCCGGCAGTGGTCCAAATTTTCATCTCACCTTCAATCAACACCCAGTATCATAACCACCAACATTTGGTAGCTGAACTCTAGTATGTGACGTAACTGCTAAATAAGCAAGTAGTCTCGAGGTTTATTCTTCGATATCTTAGTTCGCAAACATAATTTTAGTTGGGTAAGTCTATGGATAAATACTAGTCTTAACAATTTAGTGGCCACATCTTCGACTACATTGATGTGTGGTGCAGATGCAGATCCCTAAAAAGGTTTTATTCCCCTCAAAGTTGCACATACTTATTGCTGATGAGTTCCAATAAGCATGAGATGTAAGTCAACCAACCATCTGACACCACTCAAAGTGCATCAAGATTGAGTACCTTGTAGACTGATGGCCATATTGAGAAAAAAATCAATAGAATTTAGTCCCTCTGATGACTAATCAATGTAAAATGTTGTAGACTTGTGTCACACTTTCTAAGTCCATACATGCTTCAGTAATATGATGTCTCAAGTTGACGTAAGACAGAAGAAGTATCAAGTTAGTTTCAAGACTAGATAGCACCAATTTATAATTCTTTTGTGCAATAGTGAAAATGACCTTTGAACCAATGCACCTGATACTGTAGTAATTTATTCACTAAGTAATACCGATATTCCATCCATTTTCCCCAAACCAAACTGGCAGACTCCTTAGTGATGGTCTAGACATCATCATCATTAGCTTAGCTTCACAGTGAGGTAAAATAGCTTAATTAGTGACACTTCCATATGATTAGTTGAAGACACAACTCATTGGTGTTGCTTAACTTCACGAACTAACCGATTAATGGCTTTCCTGCATCAAATAAGAAGGCGCTGGTATGACTGGCTTATCGATTCCATTACAGTTAACAAAGTAAGTCTCTTCTCGATAATTAGCTGAAATTTCTTATTCAAATTCTAGTAGAAGTAAAATGCATTATGATTGGCCGATTTGGAAGAGTTTGCTTTGCAATGGTAGATAAATTTCCCATGGAAAACTAAGTTAATTTCACATTTTTATGAGGAAGCAGCGGGAATCAAAGATATGTAAAAAAAAAAACCAATTGAAGAAACAGACTGGGACTTGTGAAAAAGATATTTAAGATTTTGAAATGGTGGAGAGGACTTTTAGCTCAAGATAAGAGTGATAATGTTTTGGTGTTTGCCAAGCTTTGATATTTTTGTCATGACATCACGATATCATCAAGTGATCATATCAGGTTGACAACCACCACTGGTGAATAAGCAATGTCATATTGTGTAGTACTGAGTACTGACCGAATCCTATCGATCATTTTGTAGTGTGATCGCTAAACTAGGAGACTTATCATTGTTATCCACTTCGTTTGATGTGAGTTGCTTGGAGGTAATCAGTAATCGTCAACAAGCATCAAACCTGTGTCCAAGGCCATCTTTATTGTCCAATTATCTGATGTCGAGAGGAGCTATGAAATTCTAGATTAATTTTACAGTTTTTCAAAGGCTTAGACCATGTCCAAATTTTAGTTTACACTAGCCATTATATATATATATATATATATATATATATATATTCAGTGTTCATAAATGGAAGGTAGATAAAATACATACACCTGTTGCACAGTTTTGTGTTTAAAATGATGTACATTTCATAGGTATATTGATTACTTCTATCTGGAAATATGTTTAAGCATTTGCATTGAATTTTGAATAATAAGATTGAAAAGATAATAATTTAAAACAAATTCTACAGAACATAAAAGTAGATGATTATCTTTAATCAATCCAAATTTAGTATTGAGAAAGTCTATTTATGTAAATATAATATGTTAATGAGTTAATTATCTAAAAGAAAACCAATGTTTGTTTTGAATGAACTATTCAATATTCAATGGGGTGCACAGTAAAAGCGTGATACACATTTATTAAGGGTGAATAGTATTAAAATAATGAGATCAAGAAATGTGGAAATTAAATTGCTTCCTATTCATGAAACTCATCAGAACTACTGTATAGATCCATAGTGAGGATACTTAAGTTTAGCCTTAGAAGTACTCAACAAAGTTACGTCAATTACCGATTGTTTAAAATCATTTAATAGGGGATATACATCACCCACAGAATATCCAGTTCCCTAACTTAATGGTCACATTGTAAACATCAGTGAAAAAGATTTTGTCAAAACTTAAGACTAGATAACATCATACTGGAGATTGTGGCTTGATCAAATTAGGCAAACTTATTCTATTCTAAAAAGTGGTTTTCAAAGCTCGTCTATATCAGTGAGAAGACTTTCGAAGGTGATCCTAAGAATAGAGAATCTGAGCTTCTAAGGCAACAGGAGGTTTCTCAAAGGGAATGATTCTGATAGTCAAATTATTTCAATATATTTAAATACTTAGGTATGCATTCTATGAAGGCTGTTTTCTGTAATAACTAGTGCCTTACAGCTAAAGATTATTATAATTGTATAGATGACTAGTTTGTTTCGTAAGTAGATCGCTTCTAGAAGGATTCACCTTGAAAAATGTCGAATGTGAAACAACAATTGTTCTTACATTGTCTCCAAAAACTCATTCTAGAAACGTTTGACATCAATTTCATTTCAAAGATAATTTATGTACCAAATACCTTCTGAACAGAGAACATGAATCGGTTACTAGGTGCTAACCAATGTAGCTTCCAAGTTTTTAGTATTCACTACTAATCGAGGTCTATCGGATAAGGTTTGTTGTGATAGTGACACAAGGTCAAGTGTTTTGACACTGTGGTACACTTAACATTGATGTTAAGTGTTCGCAGTTAAAAGGCAAAAAGTTCTCGACACATGTTTCCTACCTGTAGTTACTCATCAGTAAGACCTATATCTTCAACCTTTGGTAAATTTATGTTCTTTCAATGACTGGTGATTGTTGGTATGCTTCATTGATAAGTGGCAACAAAATTGTGACTTGGATCCAGTGCCTCCCACTGGTCGACTCCTGATATGTATCACCCAAATCACTTGCTCATCAAGGCAATTTTTTAAGGAAATTATTTGTCTGAAGTTGTTTTAATCATAAAATAACATCAGCTAGATAAGAAGACAGAGCTAGAAGGCATTAAATCATCTCATTTTCTCCTGCAACTCTTCAACAGTGAATATTACTGACACGCAAATAAATTTCAATCGTAGCAGTACAGGTTTTACGTAAATACACTTTACTACTTGGTTATTGACAATTGGTTCACTGATATCTAGTTTCCAAGTGAAACCAGTTGTTTGCAAGTTTAATAACTTGTTACTGAATTTTAATGCGATTTCTTTTAGAAAACAAAATACATTCAGAAACAATGCATTGTCTGCCCAGTAACACAAAATGGTACCACAAACGCAAACATATACAATTATATAGCATGTACAACCGACTCATACAGCAAAACTCACACTTCTAGGTATTATTGGTTGGCTAGATCAAAGTGATCTAAACATCGAATAATAGTTTCGCCAACATAGGATCGTCCTCATCAGTCTTACAGTGGAACAGGCATATTTACCGGCGGTCGACACCAGCTGCTATATTTCTATATCTCAAGGCAGCATTCAACTTTGTCAACTGTGAGATGTTGTAGAAATGTCTGACTGTGAAGGGAGTACCAAGTAAGTATATATTACTTATCAAAGCTCTTTACTCGTACTCACCCAGTCGTGTAAGGGTTTATGGAAAGTTTTCATGTGAATTGATGATAACTAGTGGTGTCAGCCTAGGATGTTCACCGTCACAGTTTCCATTTAACTTCATCTTTGATGTACTAATGAACATAACCTTGGATATTTCTGACTTCACAGGGACTCATTTACTCCTCGGAGGCTATCTGGTTGACTCGGAGTACGCAGAAAACATTTTCCTGCCACATGAAGATGATGAAAAAATCCAGGGTCTTTTGGATGGGTTGAGCAGAAATCTGAGTATGTTTAGCATGCGTTTCGCTGGCACTATTCAAATGTTAGATGATGCTCCAGGACTGGTCTGCAACCACTCCCAGTTTGGTGACAGGGAGTAAAGAGGTAGAATGTGTCCACCACTTCACTTACTTGGGGAGTTGCATCTGCTCGAACAGGATGGGTGCTGACGAAATCTCAGCTCGAATACAGTAAGTCCTTTTGGCATTCGCCAACTTGCGTCATATATGCCGCCGATAGGTGAGATACCCAACTACCTATCAAAGGACGAGTATATTGAGCTGCGGTTCATTCTGTCCTGTTGTACGAATGTAAGGCATAGCCGTTAAAATTACAAGACATGAAGCCTTTATATGGTTTTCATCACAGATATCTCCGTAGCACTACTCACTTTCGGTGGAATCACCGTGCAAACAATGTCAAGGTTAGGCGAAGGGTACTGGAACTCGATAAGGTTACGTGGTTGTAAATTCTCATCAAATGAGATGCTTTGGACATGTATCATGCATGCCGAGCCACCACTTACCTCGATGTGCTATGCAACAGAAAGTTGGATTAAGTTGGGAGAGAGTTCAGTGTGACCTGACCAATAACGGGCATCAGTCCGTAAAGTCTCTTACTGTTGGTCCTAGCTGTTTGGAAAGATTTAGACTGTCTGGTTTGGGTCCTCAAGACGAAAAGAATCATTGGTTGAGGACTTGGTTACATGGCTAAAATTGGTCACATTGTTGCAGATGTATTCGCTCCCTGACATATTTTAAAGCTTGATTATTCGCACTAACCGTTATCTTCAGACTATTTATTCTCTCACACAACTTTTCGTTTGTCTTTGATATCAGTCTTTTCCTATCCACCTGTTCTTTCTCTACTACTGTTACGTTTGACAACTTGAGGCGATGCACTTGTAGGCGAGGTTCTATCTTGATTTTGTCCGTCTCACAGCTAAAGTTATTGGACCTGAACATTTGAGTAATTCAAATTACTTAAATTCACGCTGGTTACTGGACTAAATGAAACCAAGTCAGACGCTTGTCAACTATTTCAGTCATTTTGACAACTAACATATATTTTCATCCATCTCTTCAAACTAATAAAGATCCAGAATCCGTGATCAAATATTAGGAGAATGTAGACAAACCTTTGTTCATAAGCTTCATAAGATGGCAAAATAAAAACGATTATACTCCGGGATTAACCGAACCAATAGACTATGTTCTGTAATCTGATCTACTTTCAAGGTCATACCTCTGTCATTGCATTCTGCTCACGATAGTATACAATATGATGCAAGTACACACACAGTAAGTAATTAAAGCACAAAATTTTTGAAATCTTTATCTATGGCTTTCTGAACTGAAACAAACAGCAATATGGGTTAAAAATTCTGAAACTTACAAATTTTGGCAGCTGGTTTGATCCACCTCATCAGCATTGTTATTTACATTAGTAGCAGAAGGAAATGTTGATTTGAAATCATATTTCGTATCATTACTGTTCATCATCTGATTGCTTGTATCACTTTGCATATCATCCGTATTATTTATATTGACTCTTTGAACATGTTGATCAGTGTTTACTGTTGACGGTGATATTTGAATTGAAAATGTGTTTGGCGGTAAGTTTAAATTTCTTGTTGATAATGGTGGCCATTCATATCGACCATTATGTGTTGCAGAAATTGGTAGGAATGGAATTGTACCCCCAGGAATAGATTGAATACAATTGTTCATTAACAATGTTTTGTCTACATTAGATAAATTAGTCATTGCAATCGATCCTACAGGACCTAGTTGCAGAAATTAAGTTTGAAAAAACAATTGATTCTTTAAAATATGGTATATAAACATAAAGGAATTTATGTTTTAGTTTGCCTGGTCATAGCTAGCAGCGGACTTCAAGAATCATCAGCTGGATGTGCCTGAACTCCAGTGAGTGAAGTTGTTCCCACTAAGACATGGATTCAGAACCCATTGTTTTAAGTGTTGAAGTGTTACCCTCCGGGCCACGAAGGCATGACAGTCGCCTTTTGTGACTTTGAAAAATTGGTATCAACAATACATAATATGATAGATTATACATATTTTGTCAAACATTTATTTAAAATACAGATTGTCCTGAGGAAGGATTGGTGAATCAACAAAATAGGCTTACAAACTATGATATCTAAACTATCCTATGCTCGTAGCGCAGGGGTTACCTATCATGACTCACTGGCCCAAGAGATAATGCTGTGGTGCTTGAACCATGGGTTCGAGCCCTAATGTGGAACAAAATCAATCTTTATGAAGCAGGCAAATCCAACTGACGAGTCCCAAATAAGATGAGACGCTTGTCCAGGGATTTCACTGATAGGCTCAATCCATCATGAATATCAAAAAGGAAAATACTAGTACTACTGAGGTATATCGGAGCGCACAGAAGCTTATATCTCTATAGTGGCCGATCAATTCAGTCCAATCAATGATGGAGAGTTACATTTTTAGCATCAAGACGATCACTGAATCAATTGAAAAATTCTTCAAAATTAACCTAAGCATAACATAACAGGCATGTTTATTTGAAAGTTTGAGAACAGATAGGTGAAAAAGGTTGGGTGAAGTCAAAAGCAACGATTCAAGAAGATAATAAGTGTTAATATAGGCTGTATGGGATGGTGGAAACTTTTGATCTGTTATAAGCACTTAGTTGAAAGGCCTAGAGGATAAACCTGAAGGTCAACTGAAAATGAATGGAGTGCAAATGATACTTGATTAGAGGATGAGAAGAAAACTGAGTTAGTAGGTAATATAAGGGTTACGTTTTCGAATTGTAACAAAACCCAAGTTTCGTTTCAACTTCAGCCTTCATTCGCATACAACGAGGTCAGTTCGCTGATCATGGCTAACTTATTATAGAACCTCATTAAACTAGTTTTTCGACTTAAGAAGAGCCTATTTTAGGCAATAGAAACCGTAGATAAAATGAACATATTTATGCCGTACCACTAAAAATTCAGCTCAAAAGGTTGTAGCACTCCTAAATTACCATCCACACTTTCTAAGTAACGCTTGAACTACTGGTGAGCGGTATAAATTCTGACCCCGAAGTGTCTATAGGACTCATTCATACATAGCCATCTCTCTTCATTTAATGAAGTGGAGTGAGTTATTTCTACAGTGAATACATTACTAAAATATGTGCTGTCCACTATAGAGAAGATAGGACGACAATTTCTGTGGACTAACGATGAAAACAGTTCTTGATGGTATTGGGCTTTCTGATCTGGATGGTTCAATCGTGAAGTCTTCATTATCATTCTTCTGGGGTACGAAAATCCTTATCATCTCAAAATGATACAGTTCATAAACTGAGAATCGATAAACATCTAGAAAAAATTAGCCTAACTGTGAAATATGTAACTGCTTCGTGTAACATTTTAGCTGCAGATAAACGTGTCAACTAGATTTTTTATAAGTTTAATTAGCATAAAATATGAATGAACATGCAGGGTTAGCAGATCGAATGTATATTGGCAATGATGTTCACCTTGATAGTGAAACGTTTGCCAGGTGAAAATGAAGCTTATCAGACAATTCAACTTGCAACAGGTTAAACTCTTACGTACGCATATCTGCCGTCATATGTAGATATTTGCAATACTTAAGAATATTCAAATGAAAAGGTAAATAATATCACCCAATCCTATTATTGTTATTATTACTTTTATTATTATTACCTGTCTAGTCAAAAATAACAAACCGGAAAGGTAGTAACCGACTATTAATCAGTAGACATAATTTATATTATCAATTAATAATTAACCTTTAAGCCTTAATTAAAAAAATGATGCATTCATTCCATCCTACATTGGTACCCGGTGGCCTTGATGCATTATTCATCCCAGTAATTGATTTGCTTAATGTTGATTAAAGCTATGAAAGTGGGTGATTAATCTTTCACATAATCATTGAGGAGTTTTGTTTTCCAATCCATTGCTTCTCGTTGTTTCTAGCTTCTTTCTTTCCTTTTTACCACCTCCACTCCAAACCATAATAAATACATACACACCCTTACCAACCTAATACTTTCATCCTAATGACATTCATCTGTTTGTCTTGCTCCCTAATGACTATAACCATTATTACTAGTGTTATTATTATTATTACCATTATTGTGATTATTAGTAGTGGGTACTATTATCAATCAATTTTCTAACCCGAAAGATTTGTGCAATCCAAGGTTACATAGATGTTGAACGTTAGTCAGGTATCAAAGCTTTGTATCCTATTTACCATTAAAAATTACAATCATAACTAGCAGTAATATTTATAATTCGTTTATAATCACAACAATATTCCCAAAATAATGATAAATCTCTTTTTATTTCAGCTAATTAAGTGAAAAAATCAACTATTTAACTTGTAACTAACACTACTACTACTACTATTACTATTACTATTACTTCTACTTTCATTAAAACCGACTAAACGATAGCCACTACAGTGGATTGGACAGCTGCTTCAGTTTTGTTTGAAATCTCTGAACAATCCCATAAACTCAAACTAGGGAACTTAAGATTTCATCGTAAGTGATTATCATCAGTCCGTAGTAACATCAGGTCCTAGAAAACAGTAGTTTCCGGCTGCTTCATAATTTTCAGGTGCTTGCTATTTAGTGTTAGACTATAGTAATAAAGTATTTTTCAGTTAATTAATACCTCATAAACCAATTCAGTAATTAGTTTTAAGATGAGTTTCCACAAGATCTAATAAGGAGGTGTAACAACATGTGAATATATTCAAGTAGGATGAGAATAAGAACGGTTGTCTGTCTATCATGTTCTATTACGATGAAACGCTAATCATTGGATTCCATCATTTTGGGTGTATAATCCTCTTCTTTTCATTGCTTTACGAAAGCTTTTGCCTATTTCTCAGTTGTATTCAACTAAAAAGTATCATTGCGATGATGCTCTTTCAGATCCAGAAGATCTGCCTAAAATTGATCTCAGTCTAAATTATGAATTAGGTTCAGCGCAGAAGACTAGAGTTCATAGTGTATTTTACATTCGTCTAATAATTTCAGTGCTCTCTCCATCAGAAATCAACATCTTTTAAAAATCGCTAACAAAAAACTGAGCTAATTTTTTAAGAAAAGAGATGAATTTCTTAACAGTTTCTTCACAGTGTATATCCAAAACCCTGTGTGAAATTGAAATCCAGGCTGTCTGGCTCATAGTGATTTCGTTACCATTCAGCCTTCGAATCGAGATCTGATCCTCGCTTTTTTTAACTTCTATCAATTTTTGATATCATGTGACCATAATTCGATGCCATCGGTGAGTATGTGTCGTTACAGACAAATTACTTTACTCATTACAGCATGGTTTGTTAATAAAGTATCACAGAATTCATCTGGAAGCATATGGTGACGTTGTCGCCAATACACCTGATAGTCTGCGAATCAAGTCTTCAAATGGGCAGTATGTGACTACTTTGAAGAATTCCAAACTCAAATAAAACAGTTGTATTGTTATTATTATTTTTCCTTGAGTTCCTAGTGGAATATAGGGCTTCAGTAGCACACCTTCATTACACTCTATTTGCTGAAAACTTCTCAACCTACCTCCACGACAACCCACTACCTCTCATTTCTCACTCACACCATCTCCTACATGTCACAATCGGAACCCACACCCAAATCGTCCTTTCACATGCGGATTCCACTCAACGGCCTGCAGCGTGACATCCCCAATCAGTCTTCTCTCTCACTGTATCTCAAATCCATCTCCACTTACACTTACACTTACACTTCCTTCTGCATATTTCTTCAGCGATACGTTCTTCATTGCTTCCTGACCAAACAGACTTCCGTGTTGCTTATTCTTTCTGGCCATCTCAGCTTCACTACAGTGCATACGCAGTTGTTGATCAATGTCTGTAGCTTCTTGAAAATCCCTTTTCCTTACGCGCCAACTCTTTCAACTATCACACAGAAACACTCACTTCACTCGACATTCCTGTTGAAAATCCACATGTTCTTCACGCTTTATGCTGAGTGCAGTACATCCCCACACTGATTTCAGATTAATCAAAGCCTGTCTTACTCTCACAATCCTGGCTGGTTTTCACATCCTCGTATGTGCCTGTGCCACCTGTACTTCAGAGATTGCTGTCCACGCAGGTGGGTGAAAAACGCTACTTCCTTGAAGTTTCTACCATTCATGGTGATTGGTGCCTCTTGCTGTTGTCGTTGTTGCTGTTGTTGGTTGGGTATCTTCATCACCTCCATCTTCTTTATATCCACTCGAAGTCCCGTCTTACAACGCCCCCACACCCCACTCCCACTCCACCCCAACCTACACCACCCCATCTCTTCTGTCAACTTGTCACTTTCCCTCTACATCTTCAAGCTCGTGTGACATTAGGCACAGGTCATCGGTGAAATCAAAATCTTCTACGATCCTTTCCGCGGTCCACCCACATTATCCACCTCTTCTCACAGCTCCTCACTCTTTGCTGCATCATCCAGTCCACCACAATCAGGAATATCATGGGTGATGGTAGACAGCCTTATTTTACTCCTGTCTTCACTTCAAAGGCATCGCTGAGTTTCACATTGTGAATCATTTGACATGTAGCATCATATGGCATATAGCTTTTGAATCAGGTTGATAAAGATCTGTGGCACGTCGTAGTGTTGAAGCAACTGCCGAATTTTTAGGGCCTCTGGTTTATGCGTACTCGCAATGAAAATACCCTTTTAAAGTCAACACACAAGTGTTTTTCTAGATATTCATTGTGAATTTTAGTGAGAGATTCATTTTTCTGTTAAAGATTTACACTGAATTATGCTACGATGTGAAAGAAATTTTCACAACACACTTCTTTTGTTTTCCTTTTTCTTTTTTAACGTAAAAATGAAAGCTGGGGATCTAAATTATCTGACTAGTGGGTTTACACTTGGATCATGTGATTATATGGAAGGGAAACAATAATGTAGTCACTTACTTTCATGCTTTATTTGTTGCTTCTGCTCCTCTCCAACTTCTTCTTTCTCGTCAACATCAACTACATCTGCATCACCATCGTCGTCAGTACAATCACTTCTAGATGATCTGTCCTTCATAACTTTATCACTGCCATCATCATTCCCAGTTTCTGTGTGATGATGATTAGTGGTATTAGTAGAAGTGGTAGTAGCAGTATTATTATTATTATTAATAGTAGTAGTAGTAATATGATATAATTGGTTTTGTTGATTTTCATGGTGACTTGTCAATGATGACATAATGTCTAGATCATACATTGAAGAATCACTTCCAGTCATTTGTTGAAATGAAATATACAGAAAATATTCATGAATTTCATCACTCAAAGGATAAAGGGATTTATTTCATGTACACAAAAACATCCACAGTCATCGTTACGAATGCATCAACACATTATTGTCATAACAAAGCAGCTCCAATTGATTACTGTTAACAAATTCATTGTTGTATTCAATTCAATAGCCACAGCGAAACGTTAACAAACCTATAATAAATTAGGAAAGACAGAAAAACAATTTATTCGCATACAATTAACGTACTTAAGATAAAATAATGACTGAGGTTTTGCTGCATGTACCACTAACTAATCATGTAAATGACTAAGTGAGAGCCCAAAATGCATAAGCTAAGATACACTAATATGAATGTGTAATATTAGTCAATAGCCAGAATTAGAACGATTTCGTTTTGTTTACTACTCATCAACCAGATTTGTCTGTCATTGGATTGCTGATTATTTTGATTGATCAAATCAACAGCAAAAGAATAAAATATGATTATATGATACTTGAGACATCTTACGTGACTAAACCTGTCAGAATGCACTAAAAACACACTAAACACTTAGAAGAAGACTCCTAGAATTGCCCATAACAAAAGAAGTTGTCTCTTATTGTTTCCGAAGTAAGCAACAAAAGTCTTTTCAAGTTAACTTCTTTTAATGACCAATTACAAGAGAGGAAATCGGTCAACAGAAGTTAGTCAGTTTAACTCAAGTAGAAGTTTCTATTATAAATACTCATAAAAAAATATGGTAGCTTTTTTACTTATGAAAGTGTTTTCAGTAAAGTGCTTAAAATTGACCTCAAAGTATTCTTTTGTACAGAATAATAATCTATAAGTTAGTAAAAACTGATATAACATTTTAAAATTTCTGAAATTGCAACTCTATATGCATAAGAATTAAGTTAAGATATAAGAATTTCATCAGTAACCGTCTTCATATAAGTAGATACTGACAATCTTTAAGAATTAAGTGAAAGTAATGATAAAATTCAACTAAATTTTGTCGGTTTCTTAGTTTAAAAGCGTTGACATTCATCTTTAATTCTTTAATACAAACTAACAAATTTACTTTGAGGAATACATTATACATGTGTATGCTGATAAGTGTAGAAATGCATCCAACAATATATCCTTGGATATACCACACAAAGTAACTTCCTGGCATTGATGACATACCTTCGGAATGGTTTCTTTCTCTCCGTTTCACTTTTGTGTCGGAGATTATAATCCCCCAATTGACGAGGATATCAAAGCATACCGGCGGGTAGTTATAGTTGTAGAAGTTAGATTGTAATAGAAAGTTGAAAACAAAGATGAAGGAAGAGAGAAAAAGATGAGAAAATAGTTTTACATGACAACCGAAGAAAGTTATTTTTTTAGGTTCCCAATAAAATTACCGACAAATAACAAAAAAAATAACAACAATAACAATACTACTTATAAGTAAATGTATGACGAATCGTTTTTATTGTTGCATTTGTACTCTTATGTTCATATATATGCCCATATGGAAATAACATAAGTGTATATACTTGCTCAGCTGATGTTCATATGCCCATTCCTATTCCCCTCTGTTAGTAGGTACATATTGAAGAGCTTGAAAATGCCCACAAACAAAACTACTAATAATAATATTAGTAGTGTAGTAGTAAACATATCTACTATATTATGTAGGCATATGTTAGATATTTGAAAAGATTCAACAGATTCAAAGCATTGTCAGATAATAGAAACTGCCCACTTTCCTGACAATCCACCTTCTCTCGTTTACATCCACATGCATATAGATGCAAGCATACACGCGTATTCTTGCATCTGCTAGATTCCTACTTCATCTTAGGCTAAAGACATTACATTATAAAATGTCCACAAACCAAAAGTGTAGTCAAGGCTTAGTTTACGATATTCTTTATCTCATTATTTGAATAGCTTCATCATTCATTGTCCTCTGTCTACTACCCCTCCCCCCTCAATACTTTAAACACACATACAAAAGAACACAATGGTTATTCAACAGCGAAAAAGAATTTTTCATAAGAAGAAAAAATGACACCGAAGAAATACAATTATCAAAAGATATGTCTTTCAGTTATCTTTTATGTCTGTCACTTTACTTTAAGAGAGTGGAGATTTAAGGGGCTATGTTGGGAAAGATGTTGATAATCTTGGATAATGACAATTAAATGAGAGTTGAAAAATCTATTTATACAAATTCTATTAGAAGTATTGTCAGTGTTATCACCATTTTTCTTTAAATTAAGATTTCTAGGTAACAAAGAAAGGATTTTGAAGAATGCTAGCAGATTACAATAACTTAATTTAAACTGATTAGGTGATTATTAATGTCAGTCGACCTTTTTTGACAGTGCCAGCGAATCGATTCATTGGTTGCTATATTTTTACATGCAGTTATCTGGAGACATAGCCGATATACAGTGAGGCAAGAGAATTGTAGGCATTAGTTCTCAGCGCATCCGAATCCCACGGGAACTATTAGCATAAGGAAGGCTAGATAACCAGTGTCCAAGCTATACGAAAACATGAAACCTGCAAAACATGCACATAGGTATATTTTATTATTATTTGTCCCTTGAGTTCCTAGTGGAATATAGGGATTCAGTAGCACACCTTCATTACACTCTATTTGCTGAAAACTTTTCAACCTACCTCCACGACAACCCACTACCTCTCATTTCTCAATCACACCATCTCCTACATGTCACAATCGGCACCCACACCCAAATCGTCCTTTCACATGAGGATTCCACTCAACGGCCTGCAGCGTGACATCCCCAATCAGTCTTCTCTCTCACTGTATCTCAAATCCATCTCCACTTACACTTACACTTACACTTCCTTCTGCATATTTCTTCAGCGATACGTTCTTCATTGCTTCCTGACCAAACAGACTTCCGTGTTGCTTATTCTTTCTGGCCATCTCAGCTTCACTACAGTGCATACGCAGTTGTTGATCAATGTCTGTAGCTTCTTGAAAATCCCTTTTCCTTACGCGCCAACTCTTTCAACTATCACACAGAAACACTCACTTCATTCACATTCCTGTTGAAAATCCACATGTTCTTCACGCTTTATGCTGAGTGCAGTACATCCCCACACTGATTTCAGATTAATCAAAGCCTGTCTTACTCTCACAATCCTGGCTGGTTTTCACATCCTCGTATGTGCCTGTGCCACCTGTACTTCAGAGATTGCTGTCCACGCAGGTGGGTGAAAGAGGCTACTTCCTTGAAGTTTCTACCGTTCATGGTGATTGGTGCCTCTTGCTGTTGTCGTTCTTGTTCTTGTTGTTGGTTGGGTATCTTCATCACCTCCATCTTCTTTATATCCACTCGAAGTCCCGTCTTACAACGCCCCCACACCCCACCCCCACCCCACCCCACCCCACCCCACCCCACCCCATCTCTTCTGTCAACTTGTCACTTTCCCCTCTACATCTTCAAGCTCGTGTGACATTAGGCACAGGTCATCGGCAAAATCAAAATCTTCTACGATCCTTTCCGTGGTCCACCCACATTATCCACCTCTTCTCACAGCTTCTCACTCTTTGCTGCATCATCCAGTCCACCACAATCAGGAATATCATGGGTGATGGCAGACAGTCTTGTTTTACTCCTGTCTTCACTTCAAAGGCATCGCTGAGTTTCCCAGTTTGATATAACTGGCATTTCATCATCATTATCAACATAGGACCAGGCATTACTGAGTAACGGTCCAAGTTGCCACACCTCATATCACCACATCATGTAAAAAGGTAGTGAGGTGAAGGATGAAGATAAGTGAATGCAGTCAAAAGAAATATAAAGTACGAGAAGAAAGGAAAGAGGAGTGACAAAATGGTGAGATTCGGTATAGCGTTATTAAGATGAGGATAATGTGTGTATACATCTGCGCCACTGACTTCGGTTCTCAGCCATATCACCTAGGGTCTCCAACCACTGGTTCCTCTTGTCCCGTTGACCCCAACCACCTAGTCTGCATCGTCCTACATGGCTTAAACCAACAGTCAGAGACTTCATACATTGGTGCCATGTTTTAGTCTGGCCACCTCGGGCCTTTTATATGTTTATATACATATTCAAAATAAACATATATATATATATATATAAATGAACATTTTCGTTACTGGAATCATAAATATTTGTTTGGCAGACGGAAGCAATACTTTTTGACGCATGTAACAGAATATAGATGATGCAGATAGAACCTTAATTACACAATACAGGTTGAATTTTCCAAACAACATCCACGGGAGACATGAAATATTCACTAATGATGCTGTCTTCAAGATATTTATGCTTACAGAAAGACTAGCTTTGAGAGGTGATTTCCGAAGTTTTCAGTGACTAGTCGTGACCAGTGTGACAAACCTGGTAGCTGTAAGGACAAATACTCAACGATGATATTGAGTGGTGGTCGCTTTATGCTGACAGAAGTTCGAAATATGAACCATTAGATTTCGACCCAGTGATAAAGTGTTGACTACGGAACCTGAAGATCACGGGTTCGATCCTTGGTGAGGAGTCCCATACTAGAAAGCAACAGCTGTGGAGGGCTTCAAGGTTTCCAACATTCCCCTTACTAATGTCAGTCCACAATGAATACCAACTTGGAAAATCTCTAAATCCCCAAAACCCCTCTCAAATTCAACTTACGGAGTAGTTGAAATCTCTAAGATGTTGGAATTTGAAGTTAGAAGTTGTTTAAGACAAGAATTAAAATGCTGGAGTACATTATTTATGATTTATGATCCTTAAAAATGATGTCTGCTAAAAAGTGGACTACTCATATCAGTGCATGCAACCTAACAGATCGACGAACAGAGACTTAATCGGATACTGTACTATATCCCATGAATAAATTGAGGCCTTCCCTATCCTACAGTTATTTCAGACATCATGCATGCTGTACACATTCTAATCATGAAATTCCTAAGGACTAAGCACTGATTCCGTCGGTCTACCGCCTATTACCC